ACATCTTGATTACTACTTTATAAAGGTTAGGGGACCTTTGCTGTCATGGTTACAGTAGTAAACAAGTCGTCAGGATTAGGGAACAGTTGTGGATATGGGTATATCCATGTTGACTGTGAACAGTGGTCTTGTCAAGTAAATTTTATTTATATAGCCCAATATCACAAATTGGCCTCAAGGGGCTTTACAATCTATACAGTATATGACCCCCTCTGTCCTCAGAACCTTTCTTTGAATAAGGAAAACCTCCCTCCACCAAAAACATCTTACCGAGTTAATCTAGTTAACATCATATTACTTGCTTCCAATGGACAAGAGTCATAATAACTCATTTTTGGGCATTTGCTGAAATGACTACTGCTGTTTATCTTGGGAGAAACTTTCAACCCCATTAATCATCTCACAGCCCATCAGATTTATGTTGTGGAAGGAGCTTACCCCTAGGTTGGGAAACCACTGGACTTCATGATCTAAAATAGTTCAAACTAGCTACTTTTTTTTAAAGGCATGATTTCTGCTTGCAATGTAGTATTTTTTACATTTTTGCATTGGTATATTCTTCCACCCCTGGTGTCGAGACAGATTCTTTGTGATCATATTTTAGGCCGTATTTAGCAATGTTTCTGCAGTGAAATACGTCACATTGCGCCGCTTAACTCATCTTAACTCAACTTAATTTCTCTACACCACTCCTGCCAGTTTACATGAGCATCCCTTTCTTCAGCTTTTGCCCAGTGCCCATGCTCGGACCTGGTGGCACAGTAGGATGTGGCAGCTGAACCCCCAGCCTCCAAATGGGAGGAGGGGGCTTGGCACTATTTCTGTCACGTTCCATCAACAACTACAAGCCTCTGAGGGAACTGACACCACTGATAAACAGCACCCAATTTCATCTGCGTCAGGCTTAATTCTGCTGCGTTTCATCATCCCCTCATGCTCTGTAGGGGATAGCTGCAGAATGAACAGCACAACTGGCAGTTTTAATAGCCAGTGGTTTTATCTCAGCAGATTTCAGTCTGACTGGCTGCTTGATTATAAAGAGTGTTTGGTCATTATATAATACATGTTCTGGATGCAGTTAAAAATCCTAACCAGTGATTTGATCAGTGGAACAGTACGCCTCAAATGTGACTGACTAATGCTTCTTTTTAACTCGCTTTGACATAAAGTATGAAAGGAAGTCCATGCACAGCTGAACAGAAACATAATGTTTTAATTAATCCCACATCATTTTTATACATATGGGTTTTTTTTTTTGTAAAGTCTTTTCTAAGATGCAGTACAGAATCAATTTTGACACAGGGTTTTTGATACAGCAAGAAAAATAAGAATATTTCTCCCACAGAAAGGAGTTGTTGGTTGCTAAGGATGTAGTTGAACTTACGAATAGCATTTGCTATGCTTTTGTGGAAGTTCCTGCCATCTACTGTCTGTTAAAATGTACTTAACTTTTACTTTGTACCATAGCGGCCAACAGTTCACAAACTTTACCTGTCCAACACTTCAGGATGTGACAGAATGCACTTCTAAAACTAATGTCTGAATTCCCCGTCAGCAACTGTACTTTGAAATTAATGTTAACATAGCCAGCATGTAAACTCCAACACAATATGATTGTAGCAGTCTTCTTCTGCCCATATTCCCTACAGTCTAAAATTATAGACTTGCATGTTAATTTCTATGTGAATCTTTCCAGACGAGAGCTTAAATGTTTTCATTGTCTTGTTTCAAACCCTCTATGGAGGATCTCCCACTCACTGGCACTGTGTTACATAACAGCTTCACCATAGAGGACCTGGTCTGATCAATATTCCCCTAGCACTATACCTACCTCACGCTCTGGCGTGAAGGCTTGTGGGTCGTTCCCACTGAGTTAATCAAGCCTGCAGGGCTGCACTGTGTGTGTGTGCAAGGCTTCACCAGATGGAGGAAGTGATGCAAAGAGGGAGAAGATGCTATTGATGGAGATGAAGGCCAAAGAGAGGTGACAAGCAAAGTAAATAAAAAGGCTGTGATGAGGGTCGGGCTGGAGGAGTGGGCTAAGCTTATATCAAAGGTCTGTGACAAAGGCAAAGTCCTTCTGCCCACAGTAGCCTTCCACAGGCTCTAATCATGTAAAGCAGAGCATAAATCCAAAAAGTACACTGCATTATATGCATGCTAACAGCATAGCATTACAAAGTTGGTTGGTCATTCAGTCCGCCACTTTGTTTCAGACTGATATATTTTAACAAATATTGGGTGGAAATTAATTACACACATTTATGCCCTCAGAATGGGGTGTAGACTTTGGTGATCCTGTAATTTTCAACTTGCACCAGCACCAGGTCAAATTGTTTAATTTTCACACTCTCTGTATTGTTGTTTATGAACAAATTCTTGCAAAACTAATGACATTCCCATCAGTCTCAGCTCAACTTTGTGTTGATTGTGCCAATTAAGGTGGCGAATATGATAAATATTATACATGCTTAACTTCAAAATGTTATTGTGAGCAAATGTGTATTAATCTATTAATTAAGCACTTTGTAACTTGTTTTTGAAAAGTGCTCTACAAATAAGGATTATTATTATTATTATTATTATTATCTGCTACTGAAAATAGTCCCCAAACATTCACTATTTACTCCTGTTTGCAAAAACTCTACAGTGTCCAGCTGTTTTTAGAAATTACTGAGCCTTTAAAATGAAAAAAGAAATTTTTTGAGCAGTTTTCAAAGATTTACGACAGCTTGGGGTTGTGCTACAGATGGGATAGTGAATTCATTAAACACTGAGATGTGGTCTAATGTTTTGTTGACAGAAAAATATACAACAAAACTTGAAAAGATAGCTAAGGATGCTACTGCTTTATCTGTTTATTCATGACTCTGCAATTACTGTCGGCACAGAGATGAGAATACAATAACTATAACTCATGTAAGGTTTAGTTGTTTTATTGTGAGGGCATTTCCACATTCTACTCCTACACCTGACCTTGTGCACCAATAATTATCCATAAATACAATTACATGGGTGGGTAAACACGCAGGCAATGTACTGCAAGTCTGCCTGTGTAACCTCAGAGAATTAATTCCTCATGGATACTGAAAGCCTGGGGAGATCACCATGTTGCTGTGTGTGCTTGTTAGTCCTCCGGGTGGAGATTTATATTAGTCATCCCCTTCTGCAGTAACAATGTGCCTCCTCTACTGCAATCTCTAGTCAAGATCTGCTCTATAAATGAGAATAGCCTCTTCATGCATACTGTAAGGGAGGATGAGACATGTTGCTTTATGCATCACCTCTGCTGGACACATAAAACCAACCATTTAACTACTGCCTAAAGCTCAACTTAAAGATGAAAAAGACAACACATACCCTTTTTCTTCTTCTGTTTCATAACCGGTGAAGTGTCTGTGGTTTTGAGACAACCCTTCTTGCTATGCATTTGTCTAAAGGCACCATTACAAAGAGGAATAGTACAACCACAGTGTGTTTTCTCTGAGAACACTTGACTAACGTACTTTCCAAGCAAAGGAGTTACCTGCTGTGTTAACAGGATGTGGTGTGCAAAGTGACTAAAAACAAGGGAGGGGGCGTATTGAGGGGGATCTTCTCTAACAAGGCTTGTTGTAATTTCGTGTTCCTGTAATGTTGTTTTCCCCGTGTTCCCTGGCTTACCGGTGCTGGGAGCTGTCACACAGAGCCCAACAGAAAATAGCATCGCCTGACAGCTCTGACAAGATGAATGTGGATTGCTGTTTTGTGAGGCAACAGCCGTGTCAAAACAGAAATGAAATACCCCCAAAAATAATGAGGACGTCTACTGTTGTGACCGACTTTGTTAGACATTTCCTTAGCTGTACACCTTCAGGATTTAGCATCTGGTCTCATTAGTTTTGCAGTGTAATATTGTTTTTGTGAGCTTGTCACAGATGCTACAGCACATGGGTAGACTTTTGCTTTAAATCACAAAAATGAGGACTTTTCACGTTTGGACCTGGTAAATTCCCAGAACAAGACAGCAACAGACAGATATGCCTCTCCCAATATCACAGAGGCCAAGGAGAAGTCTTCAAATTACTTGGTTTGTCCAACTAACAACTAAGAACAAAATATTCCATTTAAAATTATATGAAATGGAGAAAAACAGCAAATAATCGCATTTGAGAAGTTGGTACCATGCAAATATTTGGCATTGTTTGATAAATTGGTTAAACATTATACAATTATACAATATACTTTAATACAGAAGTAATTATAAAAATGTTAAACACAAATAAATTATATGACTATAACTATATTCAATGATCAATGGAGCAGTGCTGAGGATGAATTTGAGTTTAAGAGTGTGATAGCATTGGGGGGGGGGGCTGCTGAAACTTCTATATCTCTTCCCAGAAGGCAGCAGGGTGAACAAGCTGTGGCTGGGTGGGTGCTGTCCTTTAGTATATTTTGGGCTCTGCATAAGGACCTCTACTCACGGATATCACTGATGTTTGGGCGATGGGTAGCAATGATCTCCTGAGCAGTTTTAATCATCCGCTGCAGAGCCCTCCGGCTGAAAACTTGGATTTGCCCCACAGGGCTACCAGACTTGAGACTTACTCTGACAGACTTGGGTTGTCTTCTATCTGTGTCACAGAAGAAGGGCAATGATGCAAGATGGGAACCGTAAATGGTCAGAGGGGTCAATTGCCAAAACCCTGTGGTGCTGTGGGAACATCTACTTTTTCTGTTCTGACATGACAAGGTTCTTTATATAGCAGGATGTACCAGTGAGGGGCACATATAAGGGTGTTTTGCAAGTACAGACCATGGGAATAGATGCAAGGTCCAATAAAACTGGCTGTCTCCTAATGGATCCCTCCCACAACCTGTCTGGTGAATCACATTTTTCAGACAGATGGAGATTAGAAATTTTAAAACGGCTGCTCTTTCACTTAATGTTTCCAAATAGGCCCATCACTCCCCTGTGCTGTGTCAGTTAATATTAAAATTATGAACACAAACAGGGCTAGCCAGAATACATACTTTATTAGGCAGAGAAAATACTGTTCAGAAGAGGAGAAACACTAAAAATAAATTTCTGTCATACATCGATTACTCTCGTACAGCGTAGGAAGGTCACTAGGTACATCAAGGAAAAACAAACCAGTCCTCCACAAAGAGGTTAGATGGATACTGTAGCACAGTCAAAAGCACGGCACGGCTCAGGTGTTTATTAAAGCAGAGCATGAGCTGAGGCAGTTCTTGATTCTCCACACCCTTTAAAACACTGGGAGATGAGAGAGGCAGGTGTCACTGTAGTGGGGAGTTGTTTCCTTTTCTCTTGTGACAGGCAAGTCAGCAAAAATGAGGCGTCAAAGTGAATAACATCAGCCAAAAATGGTGGTAAATACACAAAGTTCAAAGAACCGTCCTCTGAATAAAGAGAAAGATGAGCTTTAAGAGGGGCCTTGGCACAGAACGCAGCCTCAGCCGAGTAATGAGAATCTCCTCAAAGAGGCAGAGAGGGAAGGCAGCTGGGGTCAGCTTTTGGCAGCTTGTTGTGACCGGAGCTCGGTGGACCGGTTTGGGGAAGATCCTATTCCACTTTTTTCCCATGTGAAACAAAAGCCAAAACAAGGCAGAAAAACCTTGCTCAGACTCCTAACTCACACACAGGCACGCATAAACACACACATACAGCCCCTTCAGACGTTCAGCGTGACACAATCAGACTAGTACACAAACATGCAGACTTATACAAAGGCAGAACTTTACAAAGTCATGCAGATGGAATGTTTTTATATTTCTGTATCTGAGTCTGACTCATATGTTTTGCTGGCTGGCCTGAAGTCTATTTTTATTAGAAGGGGTTTAGAGAGAACTACTGTAATTTAGTTTAGGCATTCGTGATAGACTGGAAATGTGCTCCTGGAAAACGTTTGTCTTCTGATGGGGAAATAAAGAGCTAAGGGGCTTTACAAAGCTGAATATAAGTACATCAGAAATTGGCATTTTCCTCAGATGTCTTTCAAAAATCCAGATGAGAATCCATCTTTATCTCTTAAGGAGGTAGCCTGACCCCAACCTAATTAAACAACACTTCAAAAAACTTCAAGGCTTCTCAAAATTTCCTTTTAACACACTGGAAAGGGCATCCTGAGTAGGCTACCGAAACTTTTTAGATGAGTCCTGTTCATTTTTAAAGGACTAGTTTAACATTTTGGTAAATACACTTTTTCACACAACTGTTGGATAAATGTAAGGCTACAGCCAGCAGATGTTAGTGAAACAGCTTACTTCCAGAGTTGACAAAATCCACCTAAAACCAACTCTAAAGCTTACTCATGAAAACTAGTTAGCAAGCGAGCAGATGCATCAAAACAGTTGTTGCCATAAATTTCAAATGGTTGAAATATAAAGCTAAATGCAAAACATTTGCTATATAATGCTAAATGTAATGGTGAGACACTTGAAATAGTTAGCTAAAAGTAATGTATAAATGGTTGAAATTGCTAAAATTTATGGATAAACTGTTGAAATGGTAAGCTAAAAGTAACGGCTAAATAGAAGGGAAATACTAATTTATATGTCAGATAAATTGTTAAATATTTAAAGCTAAAAGTCATGTATAAATGGTTGAAATGTGCAGTTTCTGCACTCCAAGTGGTAGCAAATGCGAACTCGACTAAACTGACCTCAACATTAGTCCAGTTGTAAAAAAACTTTAAAACTTTAAAATCACTTCAAATGGGGGGTTGTGTGCTAGACTATTTCTCAGCCAGGTGTAGACTTCACCATAACACCACAACTTGATTGTTCGTACACATTAAACAGAGGTGGAGTATGTTAATTAGTGAGCTATAGAGGTGCTCGAAGGTGGACTTTGTTACCTTTTACACAGAGCCAGGTTAGCTGTTTTCCTCTGTTTCCAGTCTTTATGCTAAGTTAAGCTAACCAGCTTGAGGTGGTATCTTCTCATATGTGTCCCACAATATAGAACTATTCCTTTAACACTGTCTAAACTGAAACACTAAGGTTTAAAGTAATTCACAGCCAAATCACAAAATATTCCACTAAAGTTCACTTTGAATGAGTATAATAGTTTTTCCCTTTTAGAGAGCATCAGTGTATCCAAGCTGCTCAACAGAGCAATTGGTTTGAATATACATTATAATCATAAAGAATTATTAGACTCAGAGATTGGATTGGCTTTTAAGTGGCTTTCATCCGCTCTGTAAACTAGACTAATTTAATATAAGAGATAATCATGGTGAATGTCATAATTCTACAAACACAATGATGTAAACTCAAGAACGACGGTGGCGAATGCTCATCCATGTTCTGGCAGTGTGTGATCGAACGGTCCAGACACAAACAGCATCGCGCCACTTTGCTGCAACCAGTCGAGATTTGAGGAAAGTGGTCGCTGAGTCGGGCTCACAGGTTCTCGTTGGTGTCGTGTTGGCACTTGCTGTCTGTCAAAGGGTTCAGGAAAGGCAGCTCCTCGCCGCAGCCCTGCAGCTTTAGGACCCGACTGCTCAGGTCCAGGCAGCACTTTGAGAGGACACACACAGTGAAGCATAATTATTAGAACCGTATCAGGGGTTCTCAACATGGGGGTCAGGACTACCGATAGGGGTCACAAGACAAATCTGAGGGTCAGTGGTTTTATTCTGCAATGCAAAAAAAACTTATTTTCTTTTTTTTCAGGCTTTTCTATAATTATTCATTTATTCTTGTGAAATACTAGATAGTTTTACCCCATTCAGGCCTGTTAAATGACTCTTAATTTAACGATCTGAGAATCACTCAGTTAATAACCTGCTTTGTTTGAAGGTTGTGAACCTCTGCACTACATGATCGGATTAGTATAGAGAGCCTAAGTCACTGACTTACACTTCTGGCTCATGGGACCTTATTTCAGAAAAAATATGTAGGGTAGTCAATGGCGAGAGACTTATCTTTTTATCCCGTAAGAATTGAGCCCTGAATTACACATATGATGTTGGTCAATTTAAAATGTAATTTTTCAAGTCAAGAAAGTCGCAGTTTGTTGTAAAACAGTAAAGTTACATGTCGTATATCTCAACAGTTTTACATCAAACTACGACCTTCTTGACTTTAAAATGTATCTTTTAAATGGACAAACATCATATGTGTAATTCAGGGCACAATTCAAACGGGATCAAAATATTTGTTGTCTCCTGCCATTGAATACCGTATAATATTTTTCCGATCTGATTCAGATTGAAGCATCATCCCCATGTCTGCATAGACATTACATCAGCATGCATCAAATTAGAACTTTCATTTTGAAGTAATTTGATGATCATTTGGTCAATAAAGTGAGAAGAAAAAAATGCCCATCACAATTTCCTAAAGCCAAAGGCGATGCCTTTAAATCGCTTGTCTTGCCTGAGTACTAGTCCAAACACCTCAATTTTTTCATTTACTAAAACATAAGGCAAAAAAGAGCAGCAAATCTTCACATGTGAGCAGCAAAACTAGGAAATGTTGGCATTTTACTTCAAAATAAACAAAAACTAATCACATACCATCAGAATCACCCAAAAATTCTTCTGGCTCCATTTAGAGGGGCTTAACATGACGATGATGATTTAGTAACTCTGATTAGTCCTTCAGTAGAAAGCAGGCATAAGTTGCTTTTGCAGTCATTTCAATAAACAAAAACAAAAACAATAAAACCTTTAATAGTTTACGGCATTGATTTTAATTAATTCCTATATTGTTAAAGGTTGGCAGAGAAGTACAGGATTGAGCTTGGAGGGAAATGTTCATCTTGCATTACAAAGTCCTTAAAGGCTAATTTACAAAATTAAAGCTTGCGTTCCTTTTATGCCCTCAAGTCCCACTCTAATTCGATTTAGAGATATTAACCAGATGCTGCACATGTAATACTTACATAAGAGAGAAATTAAAAAAGAGATTGCCAAAGAGCCTTTTTATGGAGTTTAAATTGCATTTTCAAATTCAAAATCCCTGCACACAACATGTCCTCAGTTCGTTCTTATGTGGGTTTTACCTGCACAGTGGGCATCTAACAGATAGCTGTGCCACTAAACTAACACCACCCAGCCTTTCTCCCAGATAACGCCACATCCAGGACATAACTGTTTAAGAATGTGGGCTTGTGCCTCCATCTATCCCCCTTAAATGTAAATTGTTCTTCTTCGTCATCTTCTTCTTCTCCCCGTTTGCCTGTTTAAAGCCTTGTGACTATTTCAGGCAGTTGGTTCTTTAAGAAACACACACAGAAAAAGACACATGATAAGGCACAGCAAATATTAGCAAAGCAAATAAGGGCCTTACTTTAAGTTCCAACAGAGTCTGAAGACCCAGGCACAGCTCAAACGCCTCATCCTCTGAAAGTGAATGAAGAAAGATAAGGGGAGAGGGGTAGAAAAGAAAGAAGCTGAATTTTATAACTGCTCCAGTTCCCCTTCAGCAACACCCTCGTCTGAACACCCACACATTAGCCTTAATCCAGATTAAATCATCAACACAACTAAATTATTAATTTTTGTGTTAATGAGTGCTGATAAAGCGTATGTACTTGTGAAGGTGCGTATGAGTTTTGTATCGGCAAAGTGAGTGTTTTGGAGACGGGTGAGAATTTAATATCTGTGAAAGAGTCCGGCGCTAAGCCTAGGGACTGCAGAACATAAATAATTGTGTGTAGTCTTGTTCTTTTATCTTTATGAGGACCAAATGTTCTTTGAAACAAGGAGAATATCAGGATAAATCTTCAAAGTGAGGGCTTTTTTGACCAAATGAGGACACAATAATATTTATTTTATTTTATGGTTTGCGGCTCGGATCTTATTGAGACAAGATGTGACTTTGAAGAAATAGTTTGGTGTTTTTTTGAAATACATTAATTCACTTTCTGGCCGAGAGTTAGATACCACTCTCACGTCTGTACAGTAAATATGAAGCTATAGCCAACAGTCGTTTAGTTTAGTTTAGCATCAAGACTAGAAACGGGGAAACGGCTAGCCTGGCTCTGCACAAACATGATATAATCTACCTGTCAGCACCTCTAAATCTCACTAATTAACACTTTATATCTGGTTTGTTTAATCCGTAAATAAAACAGTGTATGTGTTAATTAGTGAGCTTTAGAGGTGCTGGTAGGCTGATTTTGTTTTTTAAATTTGTTTCCCCCTGCTCCCAGTTTTTCTGCTACGCTAACGTTCTCCAGGCTGTGGATTCATGTTTCATACGTGAGAGTGATATTGATCTTCTCATCCAACACTCACCAAGAAAGCAAATAAGCATATTTTACCAGAATGTATATAATTATTTCTTTAATATACATTTTCAATGATGGAACAAATAAATATTTTTGAACAATTTATGTTCATCTTATGGATGTGCCGATATCACGTTTTGTGGCCAAAAATATCGTGGTGAACAGTATTATAACAATATTCATCAAACTGAAATACTACAGTTAGAGCTGAAATATAGTTAAATGACTTTATACCATAGTTGCCTTGGATTTTTATCAAACCTAACAAACCATGAACTGGAGCTAACTGGAACTAACATCAAATACACTAAAAACACAATAAACAAAAGCAAGGTACTACTTTTGATGTTGCATAATGTCTTTTAAGATTATTTGCATCCATTTATGTTTTTATTCTGATATATTTTGGAAGCTAATGGTTAAAATCATGTGTGAAAGACTGGAGACAGAAAAGAACATAACAGTGATGGACTGAGGATCCTTTCTCCTTCACTTAATACACAATGCCCATTTCAGCAGGACTACTAGCTAAGCAAGTCTTGGCCAGAGTAGCTGAGTAGTCCTGCTGTGGCTGCTCTTCCTCTGTTTCACCAGTACAAAGGCGCTTTCTTGTAGCTATTCAAAATAAAACTACTATTGACGGCAGGTTGTGGTCAGCGATAGTCACTGAAATGATGATGTTTCACCATGGTATATAGTAACCGGCACATCTCCTAGAGCCTATTCATGAAAGTGTTTACGCTTGCTGTTCTAAACATCCATGAAGGGCTTTCTCTGAAAATATGCTCACCTGCACAGGAAGTGATATTTCTTACAAAACCAGAAAAAAACTGAAGAACAGACTGATTGGTCAGTTGAATGCAAGTGTTGTTAAAAGGAAACAACCGTCTCTCGAATTCCCTTCCAGAGATGGATAGTGATGCAGAGGGACACAGATCATGCAGATATACTTTTGTGTATTATCTGCAGCTGATGTTGTTTATCTTTGAACCAGTGCATATTAATGACCTCTTATCGACAAAATCTGTCATAAGAATCTGATCAAACAAGATAAATCACTCTATGTCCCTCAGTAAACATTGTCTCCAATGTATCCAGTACTTGGATTTTCTGTTTATGAAGTTTGCTTCCTTATTCGTCTGCTCAGTCACTGAGATAATTACTGTTCATGATAATTATCTTCCCAGTTTTTCCCTCAAAAGAAGGTACCTGGCAATCTTATCACAGCAGATCTAAGAGTGCATTCAATATTTTTGTGTTGTATTGGCAATCTAAAGAGGAAAATAAACACAAAAAAACATTTATTTGCCTGACAATAATGTTTAATTATATATTTTACTTATTCTGTCGACCTAGATGTCCTTTTATTTAATGGTTATTTCTGCCTGGGTGCTTTAGAATGTACTGTCTGAATGTTAAGTACAGAGACAAGCACATGTCCAATTCAAAATCACTTTTAACAGAATCTCTTACATAGCAGGTGAACTTGTATTTTTCCATTAGAGTTGCAGCAGCCTTTACACATATGACCGATGTGTTTTGACAACTGGAAAATCACCAGCACCATTTATGGTTTTGAGTGAAATATAAACTGTTGGAATATGATCTACATGTTGTTATCTACCCAATATCTTTCCTTTTGTCTGTGTTTTGGTTCATTTTGTAAAGAGAAAACAGGAAGAGTTTAACTCTTAATTAAAGAGGTATTAATGAAACACCAAAGTATGGTTTACATTGTTTTATCATGTTTGTCATTTGCAAGTCTCTTCATCATTTCAAATGTTGAACTCAGGATGCAGTTTAATAACTTTGGTAATCCCTTTACTTTCCAATCTGTCAAAATTTGGATTTGTTCAATACTTAGGTTTGCAACAAAAAACCAGCCATACAAATATCAGTCCCATCAGCCTCAGATGTAGTTTATGTTTGGTGCCTATCAGCTAATGTTGGTGAACATGTTAACACCTGCTAAACTACTGCATGTTCACATTGTCATTGTGAGCATAAAGCATGCTGATATTAACACATAACACAGCCTAACAGAGCCACTAGCATGGCTGTAAACTCATTAAGCAAAGATTCAAATCATTCAATTAGATTTACTTTATTTACCTGGAATCAGCACTGTTATAACACAACTTAATATTCTTACCTTTGACATAGGCTGAACACTGGACTGTCTGTCTGCCCAGCTGCAGCTGCAAACCTGTCACTGAGCTGCTCGCACCACATGGTGAACTGTCCTGACTGGGCACGAGCCTAATAATGCACACACACACACACAAAACAATATCTTCAGTAGTTCAAATACCAAAAACCTTTTGGAACGTGTCATTTTATACAGTAGCTATCTTGCAGAAATAGAAACTTTTTTTATTAAAATGTCAATCAAAAGTAAACAGTAAACTGATTTTAGCAGCTTTTAATTTAAACAAAATGTCACATCCTCTTCACTGGCATTTTAATATATTTTCTTCAAAATGATGTCAGGCCTTTAAGGATCTGGAAAAACTTGCCTTAAGTGTATAGATTGTCAATATTAAATGTCTCCTTAAGGCAAATTGTTTTTCAGCCAATTGTTTTAATGTTGAATTATTTGTCTTCTATTCCTAACCTGCTTTCTTTAGACATTTTTTATGGTAACTTCTATCAGTGTTCGGTATTTGCTTTTGATTTGATTGCCAAAGGACTTTGTAAACTGCTTTGAAAGCTTTAACCATGGCAGGTGATATATGTGTTGTAAGTGTTTGCAGTTTAGAGTGGGGTGTTTCTTACCCCAGCCTCTGACAGCAGGAGGTGGAGATGTGGTTATGTTGGCTGCCGGTGCTGATGGATGCCTTGACTTCAGTCTCGCAGCACTGAAGGGGAAGACAGAGGGGGGATTTTGGTGTCACAGTGTGATTTTCCACTTCAGTCTAGCACCACAGCTCACGTGGAAAGAGCCAGTCACAACAGCACATGAACACAACTCTGGGGAGCCTTTGAAAATTACTGATCTCTTTTCTTTTGAACAAATCCATTTGGCTGCCACATGCTTGTGAAACTGCAAAAACTGTAAAATAAAGTAATAAAGTAAACCAACAGGGGCATTCTGTTTACCATTACAGATCACATGAGTCTGTTTTTTGAATTATTAACTGATCTGTTATGTTCATATTGCTGACTCAATGCTGATTCTTTAGTTTGTTGAGTGACCTTTGATTTTTCAGACTTAATGATCTCAAAAGCATATAGAGCATAAAATATTAACCAAGTGAATCACACTTACATTTAACTCATTAGTCAGCCAAACAACTCCATACTGAAAATCATCTATGACAAGTCACGTGATTAATTATACAAACTCAAAACTCACTGTATTGCAGGTTTAATAATTATTATTATTATCTTTAAAGTGGCTATTAGCAATATTTTGAATATGAGAATTAAGTTGCTTGTACTGAAAATATCTGCATCTTCCCCTCAGCTCTACGGAGCTTTGTAACATCTTTCAGCTCACTGTTTTGGTTTTCTGGCCGCCAACATTACTGTTTTAGTTCATCTTACCGCTCTGAGTCGTTTTAAGCAGATTGCAATAAAGCAAACAGCAGACAGAATTAGCAACTAGATAGTTAGCAGCTATATGGTGAACATGTGGAGCATTTAAGCAGTTAAAGAGCCAGATATTTCCCTCTAAAAGAGAGAGAATATTGGACTTTTATTCATCAGCTGGGCACAAACATGACTCCAAATGAATGCTATAATGTTGCATATAACATATATATAGTATATGTAAATAGGCACCTGTGTGCTAACAAGTATGTCATATGAGCTTGTTTCTGCCGCCACAAAGTAAGTTTTTTTTTGCAGGTTTAAAGTGACAGTTTTGGGAAATATATCATTCACTCTTTATTGCCAAGAGTGAGATGAGAAGATTGATACTAACTCTCATGTCTGTCTGTCAAATATAAAGCCAGGAGCCAGTTAGTTTAGCTTAGCTTAGCTTGAATGAAAATGACTGGAAGGGGGCTATCCTGGTTCTGTTCAAGTTCAAAAATACACATCTAAAGCTCACTTATTAGCCCTTTATATATTGTTTGTTTAAGCTGTACAAAAACTGAAGTCTAAAATCGGCCTTCAACCTTATTAACCCTTTGTTACAGTCTTTATGCTAAGCTAACCACCTCCTGGCTGTACCGCATAATTTAACACACTTGCGCTAAGTCACGGCCAAAAAAAGCTAATGAGTGTATTTCCTAAATGACTGGTTCTTTAATCTTTCACGTTTTCTTTTTCCATAATTCAAGCTAAAGGGTTGTACAGTAGTAATGCAAACAGACAGCTCGTCCTAATTTCCACTGACATTTCTCTTCTTCTGCATCTCACAGTCTCTCACTTGCCTTCAGGGCACTTCATGTCAAATAAACACATTTCATGGGAAGCAGAAAAGTCTATACTGTAGCAGACTGTAATGGTTAATGGGAACTGTAATCTGTCATGGCCTTTTTATATTCAGGTTCCTCATACTTGATGTCATGCAACCTGTAAACAAGTAGGAACACATTTGTGGGGGAACATTTAAGTTATGGTAATGAAGAATGTTTTCAGAACATATGGCAGCTCTGCATGCCTGTGAGATAAGCAGTATGCTGGCACCACCCCCACACTGTTTACTGTGTATCACGCCATGTATAAATTAGATGTTTTTTACATTACTCTATAGTCTTGTTTTTTTTTTCTTTCAGAAGAAATTACAGTTCAGTTCACTCCAGTTTGTAATTGTATTTATTATATGGAACAAGGTTAAAGTCCTTACAGGCAGAGCTGTCAAAATACTAGACCTTGACAAGCTACGAATACTAAGCAAGCTAATACTGCCTGAGTGGATTTTTGAAACTGCAATCATTTTAAACACTCAAAATGGAGTCATCAGTCATTTTAGAAGGAGCATACTTTCATAAATTGAATAAATTAAAGTGCAAAGCTATTGGAAATCAGTTCTGATGAAAAGTAACCCCTGATTCAAACCACAATACCAGAATAGCCAAATACATGTTATATATAACATCTACTGGGGTTTTTACTGTCCAGCACACATCCTGGTTCCCGTGAACATGTCTTTATATCTTTTGGAGACGGTCTTCTCCATCATAAACCAGTACCTTATCCACTTGACCCGAGGATATTTCCCCCTTTAGAAATAAATATGTTCAGTTTCCATGAGCCTTGTTTTGATTCCCCCCTCTCTGCACAGACTGAGCTGAGCCGCCTTTGTCCTCACAGGCACACTGACTTATCAGCAGGCCCACAAACCTGCTCTTTTGTCTCCATCCCGGCGTTGCAGAAATCCCTTTCTCTCTCTCTCTCTCTCTCTCTCTCTCTCTCCCTGAAGTATAAAAATAGCTGCAGAATGAGTAACTGAGGAATGCTTTGCATTTAATAAGTTGATGATAAAACTGAGCAAAAAAACAATGAGTAATAGGGGAAAGCGCTGAATCTACCAGAAAAGTCCCAAGTGGTCTACTAATTTTAAATACACTCACGTATGCAGAAGCTGTGCTACATACCATATACACCACAGGGAATAGCAGCTGGATCACTGTATTGATTTCTTTCAAATAATAATAATAAAAAATGTGTTCGTCCTTGGTGTGATATATGGTGGCAATTCTCTCTAGTCAGAATCCAAAATGCCAAAAAATCATCTCTTTAGCTCCTGGTCGTTTAAGTATTTAATATTTGTCCTTGATTAAATTTAATAGATCAACAGATTGCTCATTTTGTCTGATCAACAGTCCAACCTCAAAATGTATTTAATGCATTATATAAAATTGACAGTTTTAAAATCTATCTATTGTATCAGAACAAGTTAACAAAGTAGAAACGCTTTATACTATTATTATTATTATTATTAGTGGTAAGACTAAAACTCATATGTGTGAGGGAAAGAACCTGCCCTTTCAACCTGTTTTGTAAAGTCGTTATTCTGTAATGAGTTGAAACACAGATAAATCCGCACACCAAATAGCCTTCAGAAGTCTGAGGAAGAGCCTTGTGCTCAAAGCATCACTAGCTTAATTAATCCTTTCAACTTCCAACTATTTGGTGTGCTGATTTATCTGTTTCAACTCTGCTAGATATGTTTTTTATCCAACATCAGTCACAACCCAGGGGTCGTTTCAAATGCTACAAGGCTTTACCCTGAAATATAGATAGACTGTTGACTAGCTTCAGTCACAGTTTGGTTGGGTTTAGCTTTATTTATTTAAGGGACACTTCCCTGATTTTACACATGCCGATTGGTTTACTTGTCACAAAGGCTACTACTCAGTAAAGCAGTTGTATACAAGTTGCATTCTGTGGCTCTGATGACAACCCTGATGACATAATCTAGGTCATGATGTCTTCATGGTGATGTCAGATCGGGTTTGTGTCTTGAAGTTTTTATTAGAAAGTGAGTGTGTGTTACAGACTTGGGAGGTGGAGTTTGAAAGATGTGGGGTTGACCCAAACTAGGGACTAGGAGCCAGTATATCTCTGCATACATTTTGACCTTTTTTAAATCTGTTTCTTGTGTTCTCAAATAAAATGCTTGAATGTCCCTTATCTCAATGTTTATCCTAAATACAAAGTATTTTAGATTTTATTGATAGCTAGTAGAGGGCTGACAGGAAATGAGGGGCAAGTGGTGTCAGCTTGCTCATGCACCAATTCCTTTGCTCACTAGTGCACAATGTCCACAATCACTGATGTGTGCATGTTGCTGTGCTGTCATCTTTATGGGTGCCCTAATTCACACTGCAGATAAGTCTACAGCGAGCAACCGAAAGCATACATACAACAGCATACATCTTGATGCATTTTGTATTTTCTGGTGAATCCCCACAGTGACATCCATTTAGCCTACAGCAATATCAATATCTTGTTAACATATGAGTTGGAGAAAATAATATTGTACAATGTGACCACCAGCTGATAAGTACTATTCGCCACAGATTTAAGCCTCAGTAACATAATAGCTGAGGTTTGCAGACATAAATTAAAATAAAAAAAGGTTTGTGAGGCTGCCACTGCATCGATGCTCAGTCAAGTGAGCCTAAATGAGCAGTCATCCTCAAGGGGGCTGCAAGAGCCAATGTGGGATACAAGTGGGCAATACTGGGTCACCTGTTACTTAATAGGTTTCAGCACTGTACAAATTTTAATGCCAATTTATTCTTATTGTTTTTCCTGTTTTTGTCCTGCAGCACACACTGTTTGTCTATTTCAAGCCCTTGTACACTTTTTACCCCCTGTAACCTACATTTAATCCATTCTGGATCCACGTGCACCTGTTAACCAGGTTGGACTTTCAGTCACCATGACTCAGTTATCTGTTGTTCTCATTCAACCAGACAGCCACTTTGGTACTGCCAAGCTTTTGATATGTTGAAAAAGGAAAATAAATGAGGAGTGGGCTTTAAGTGATGAGTCATTCGACTAGAATGATGCTGTCTTTGTATCCTGTCTTGTTTTCAGTTTTTATACAATAGTAAAAAGTGTCAAAGCATTGAATGTAAGCTGGGAAAGACAGGCATTGTACAATTTACACAGTGCAGTGGGCTACCTTGCATTGAACAACCAGAGCTGTGAGGAGGGTGGAGCTCTCCGTGCCCTCAGTCTTCTCAGCTGTCGGTCTGGCTCCAGCTTCGCTGCTGTCGTCCTCTTCATCTGACCGTAGGCTTCTCTCGCTTTCCTCCAGAGACTCCCTCTCCTCTGTGGAGTCATCGGCTGTGCTCTCGCTTCTCTCCTCGGCGTCAGCAGGTCCATCCTTGGTGTCGGCCAGCGGGGAGCGAACCCTGGAGCTCAGATCTCGGGCCTCGCCTCGGAGCCGCGTGATGTTTCCCTCCAGCAGGCGCCGCTGGACAATGCTGTGAGGTTGCTAGAGAGGGAGACATTAGAGAAATGGATGTCAGATTGCAGGTTTTCTTAGAAACAGGTAGATGGAATGGAAGATAAGTTCAGCTCTGATGTACAATTTTACACCAAAAAACGTTTGGACTGGTGGTCGGACAAATTCAAAATTAATTTGAAGACGTCACTTTGGAGTCTGAGATACTTTCTTTATGTTTTATGGACCAGACGATTAACAGATTAATTGATAAAATTATCAACAGATTAATTGATAATGCAAATAATCATTAGTTGCAGCCCTATACATATGTTCAACTAGACAATTCTTGAATACTATTACGTAATACCAAATTTCAGTCTTTACAGAGTGAAAAATCTCACTGACACTGAATAAAAAATAAGATATGTAGGTTGTTGTGTTAAAGAACATGTCAGCAAATCTCTTGTGGCTCCAGATTTTCTGCACATTCAGGTAACATTATAATTTGCTCCCACAACAGTAATGAAGAAGCTTATTTATGCATATTGAAGTTTAGGTTTAGTTTTAGGTGATCAGTTTAGGTTAAGTTATTTAGTAGAATTAATCAAACAAGCGTCCATCAACGTTTGCTGGAGGATGAGTGAGATTGACTTGTGTAGCTGAGAGATGTTATGTTTAGCTATTGTTTGTGGTTTTGGCATTAGGTTTGCTCAAGTTGCAAGTTGTAATTGTCAGAATATTACCAAAAATTATTTTTAGAGGAGTCACACAGAAACCAATTTTTGATCCAAAAGTTAGCACACTGCAGCAAGTATTTAAGCCAGCGTAGCATTGGCTGTGGCATTTCAGCAACCCCCCTCACCCACCGCCCACATACACACACAAACACACACATACAGACATTTAAATTGCTAACTTTAGCTTCAGTGGGGAAAAAATGCTTTCCAAACTACCTGAAGTGAAGGTCACATTATCATGTCATGAAAGCCAATTTAAGGCATATGTCAACGCTTTCAGGTCATGACAGTCAGCAGACATAAAAGGATTTTTGCTATGGTTTTCTTTTTTGCTCCACAAGCCTGGTGGACATGTTTTTTGCTTCCACACATCCACATTTGGAGCCAAAAGGCAAAAGCAGTTGCACCCCCTGTAGAGTTAAATTCACAAAGCACTTATAAAATACAATGTTTTGACAAAGTGTTCACGTCACTCCGAGGGTACAACATTTATGTTACAATTTTGCTGTATATATTTAATACTTGTGTGTTGATCTTGATTAATGGCACATTTCCACAGTTTCAAAACAACACGTGGCCAGTGACTGGCTGTTCTTTATGGATCGTATAAAAAGTAAATTATATTTAAGCTGCCTGTTCCTCTGTAATCTCATTGCTCGTTCACCAGCTCAGAGTCTGGGTAGAGACTTTCAGACAGCACGCTTTGAAAAGAGCAGGTCACCCAACACCAGCAGAGTCACTGCATTAATAAAACACAATGCATTTGCCTTCCTTTCAAGGTTTTTTGAACAGTAAAATCACCAGGATCTTTACGGCAGGTATCATGAAAAAACTTTACCTATAAACATATAAGAAAAGAATTACACTTCACAATTCAAAAAAAAGGCAGATATCAACTATTTAAATATATTATACTCTTTTCTATCTCCAAGCACATTAAAGCAGGTTGAACGATGTTTGGTTTTGTTACATCTGGGTTACTGCCTTCATGATATGGTTAAATGAAGCAAAACAGCATCTGCATAAGCTTCAGATAGTCAAGAATAGAGTAGTGCTCGGTCCTGAACTGTTTATTTAGATGGTAAGAGAAAGTCTGCTAGCTGAAGGGGGAGGAGAGACTGGTTTGTAATCTTTTGGGATATTATGTGTTATACTTAAAACACCCAAATGATCTTTCCTCAGGATAATCTTTGTTAGGCACTGTTACAACTACGCAAGGAACAATGAATAAGACAGCTCTTTCGAAACCCAGATCTAATGCTTTAAGTGGCTATAATGAGTATTTTTATATTGGAACAATGGATAACTACTTGTATATAAAAGGAGTCGCTCAGGATGAACACAGAGAATTTTTACCCAACTACGCAGATCACCACAGCTCTACAGAGCTTTTTTTAACATCTTTCAGCTCAATGTTTTGGTTTTCTGACCTTCAACTGTTTTATTTCACTCTCATCACTCATTAACATAGTTTCCAGTTCTTTTCAGTAAAAAGAGAACTCCCGAAAAGCATCTGTACACTTCCTGCCCAGCATCAAATGTCATACAAAGTTAGCAACTAGCTTGTGAACATAGGAGCATTTAGCAGCTAAAGAGCCAAATATTTCTCCCACGAGTCAGTGTGGAGACCAAAATAGAGCTAAAAGACAGTGAATATTGGACTTACATTCATGAAGTGGAGACAAACACAACTTCAAATGAAAGCTAATGTTGTTTTGTATCGGCTGCATGTGTAAATAAGCATGTTTGCGATGATAAGTTATTGCAGGGTTAAAGAAAACTGATAGCATGGCCATTCAGTGGATTTACACTTCTTTATCGACTTCGAACCTCTAGTGGCCATAAAAAAGGAAGTCGGGTCAGTTAGTTTTTGTTATTTTAAGTTACATACATAAGTTAGGTTACATAAGTTAAGTTACGTCACGTGACTTCCTTTGACCTATAACTATTTTAACCCAAACCCCAATCTTTTCCTAAACCTAACCAAGTAGTTCTGGCGCTTAAACCTAACCGTCATCACTTCACAACGTTAACCGCATGTTTACATTACATTACATTTACATTTACTCACTTGGCAGACTCTTCAAAGCGACTTACATTTGAGGTACAACATACAAGCATCGACAGAGCATCAATACAGCACGAGATCTACAAGTGACAATACATACTAGTAAGAGCATCAGTAAATACTAGTACGAGCTAATGTAGTAGTGTAGCATCAATGGGGTAAAATCCTAGGGAAAGAAGTAAGAGTTAACAAAATAGTGCTATAAATGCAAGAGAATTGTCAGGAGACAGAAGAGCACAGGAAGTGCATGTTAGAGGTTAGAGGTGTTATAAGAGAAAGTGTTCTCCGAAGAGATGAGTTTTGAAGAGCTTTTTGAGAGGGACACCCCTGCTCTGAGGGCGTGTGGTAGCTTGTTCCACCATTGTGGTGTTACAAATGAGAACAGCCAGGACTGTTTATTGTTAGCATATAGACAAAGGTCCGGTACATCTGTCGCTGGTACTTTCCAATGGTCATTTATGTAGTTTTGGGAGTATATTGGCAAACAATCTATTTTGCCATTTAGGTATAAGGACATGTTGGATATGCACACATTATGGGCCATGTTGTAGGAGATTCCTCTCTTCTTAGAGCATGACACCATGGAGGCTAAAGGGAGATATTTCTGAGAGCTCTGTGAAAAAGACTGGATGTGTAATTTGTTTTTTCGATGACACATCCTGTGTGATAGCGTGGTGTGCTGTCACAAAGGCAATGGTCGATCACAAATGCCGACCCTTTTTTGTCTGTGAGGGAACTCCATCCAGCAGCTGTGTGGCTGTGGCTTTTTTCCCACATTTCTGGTCATTATTTGATGTTCTGCTCTGATTAATGTGTGCACAGTAATGCCCCATTCTGCGCTTAAAGTATCCCTGACCAGAATTTGAATGAAGACGAGGATGATTTCATGGGCTGGCGAGCATCAAGGTGAAAGAGAAATATGCAAAGAAAAAAATAAATAAGAAAGGGTATCAGGGCCCAGCAGACTTGCTTTATAACCCTGAGATGTCTGTAATAATGTCATCTCATGCCTGGCCATGTCTGTGTGTCCGTGGCCTCTCTCCACGCGATCAGTCATTATTTTTCAGTGCCACAGTGTCAGACATCCATCTGTGGATCTGCAGCTCAATCCAGCACCTCAACAGATCATCAAGGAGTCATTTTTGGCTGCCTGTCAGGTTAAAGAGCATTGATTTACCTTAGAAATCAATGATGTAAAAAAAACATTTGGTTTCTGCAGTAGATTTCTAGCTATTCCTAGGCCTCTTTCTGTCAATCCACTAGGCTTCCTGCCCAAAACAGCAACAATTCAAACGACTAATCATCACCCGTGACACTGAGTTCGATTGAGCCCATTCGATCCTCTCCGAGCTCCAGCTGTTTCTGAGCAGTGCTTAGCTGGCTTTTAACCAGGCTGAAGATGGCCTCTCCTCATTTTACATCTCTCTTCTCCTCTTTACATCCTTTCCTTTTTCCTGTTTCTCCTCCACTATTCTACCCTTCATTCTTTTCCTTTCCTTTTCTTACCTTTCCTTTCTTTCCTCTCATTCCCATTTTTCATCTTCACCTTGCTTCCTTTGATTTTCTTTCCTTTTCCTATTTTTCTTCGCCTTTTCTCTTTTACTTCTGTTACCCTCTAATTGCTTGCTTTCCTTCCTTTCCTTTGCTTTCTTTTCCTTATTTCTCATCTGTTCTCTTCCCCTCGTATCGTTTCCTCATTTATTTTATTTTCCTCCTCTATTGTTTCCTTCCATTATGTCCCATTCTCTTCCCTTTCCATTTTCTCATTTCTCCTCTCCACCTTCCACTGCCTTCCTTTTTATTTATTTTCTTTCCATACATTTCCTTCCCTCACCTGTAAATAGAGATAACTTTCCCCACATCATTTATCATCTCTTCTTTCCTCTTCTTATGTCTTTCCTTGCGGCCAGTAGAAATCAAGACCCTACTTCTGCCTTCCTTTGATTAAACCAACCCAAACCCTGAGCCTTAAATAAGAGTATTCCTAATCCTAAATGAAATCTTCTCCTCTCTGCTGGAGCTCTCCTAAAATAGGAGCTCTCACACTGAGCACCCTGACATCGTAACTAATCAAATTCAATCAGGAGCTCCAGACTGACTTTTTTTTTTATTGTTGTTCTCTTGACATCGGCTTCTTTCTCTGGCCTGCCCTTTTTTCAAACATTATTATGCAGATCAGTTGACCTCTTTCCCACCTGGGCACTCACTGGCTAAATCACACATTTAATAACAGTAATTGTCCT